GCCACTCGGAAGCTTTCCAAATTTCTCTATCGGTTATGATTCTCGGAGACCGGGTTATGCAGGTTGGATGTTTAAATTTCAGTATTCTCTCATTTATAACACGTAGCCGATTTGGATTGCCCACGTAATACTCTTTACCGAAAGATGTCAATAATATATCTGTGTGCTGCTTCACGGCACCTAGTAAAAAAGCGTGCATGTAATTTGGAGACATACCATCAACTAAATCAAAATATTTTAAATTCATCAGTTGTGACGGTCCCCAGACACCCATAACACTTTTCCCATTTTCACTTTGACCTGTGAGTTCCATGTTCCTCTTGATTGACGCATCAGTACGATCTGGAGGAATTGTTGTAGATAATGTGTACTTCCTATATCCATCAACAGATTCAGTAGGGTGCTCACAAAACGTACACCCATGTAAACCGTTAAACTTTTTCATATTTAGTAGCTTACATCTTGCTACTGAGTCAACAACAGAGCAGACTGGGATGAATTTGCTGATAACTATACTATCTCTATAATTCCATTGAAAACCTTCATCTGATAATTTGTTTGCTTCATCAACAAATGGTTTCAAAAATGTTTGCATATTTGGTTCTTTATCATTAATCCACAGACCACACATAACCATATGCTTCGTCTGCAGTTTTGAAGGTAATTCGTTTATGATGACATATATGGGCCAGGTTAATATTTTGCTAGATTTTGACGCCTGGCATCCGTCTGTATTAAAGGTATATGTTAAATTAAAATTATCAGACAATGGATTATTTTTAGTTGACAATTTCTTGTAAATTTCTCCGTCAGTAATGCCTTCTATAATATTATTGTCCAATTTTTTCGTTTTCCCTTCAAAATGGTCACGTAGGGCTTCTTGAACTTCTTTGTCTTGTAAAATTTTTTTAAGTTGTGTTTCCATGTCTAAAGTTATAAAAAATGAAATATTTGATCGATTATCCTCTATTCCACAAGTTGCACACTTCAAGTCTTTAGAATTTGAATCCTTTTGAGTACCAATGTATAACAAACAGTCATTACAAAACATATGATCGGAAATCATTTTATCATTAAGCTGTAATGTTTTAAAAAGTTGATACTTTGATGCTGAAACCACTTTATCTCCGAATAAAGTATTAATGAGAGACAATATTGCTGTTATAGTCGTCCAGGGGAAAGATTGCTGAGCTCCTAACAGCAGTGTCATTAATAACGCTTCCCCAGATAGCAATATGACGTCTTTTACAGTTCTCAACGAACTCTTATTTAAGATTTAGACGTCAAAATTTTGATCAAAATGAGGTCTCCAAGACGTTTTGAGGACGTCCAATGCGCCACCTAAAGAGTGAATCAGGACTTCATAGAAAGAGTTCTTAAAGAGCTCTTTTTTCTGACTTCAAAAAAAGAGTTCTTAAAGAAGTCAGAATTAAGAGCCCTTTCTGACTCGAGAAAAAAACAGTTCATAGAGGAGACATTTTCAGTTTTAATTGTAATTAATATTAAAAAAGAGCTTAAATTGAAGACAATCAAGTACATTAAAATATATTTTCTTCGAAATAAAAAAAAAAATGGTGTCGCTCGCAGCTTAGAATATGAATTTACTAGCGGTCACCCATCCAAGTATTTACCATGACTAATGCCTCTTAACTTCAGTGATGTGGTGTCCCCTGGTCTGCCTTGGCTAACTGCTCCTAATGAGATAGTAAATTTTTTTTTTCTACATAAGCTCTTATGTTCACATAAGATTATAAATGACTTATAGCAACGATAAAAAACTTGATATCAACTTTTCTACCCATAAATAAAAAAAATACCTTTTGATTTAATTATCGATAATTATCGATTTAATTTTTAATAAGTAGAATTACTGAACGTTTTGCTATTTACGATAATATTTTTATAATACAAAAATAAATACACAGCGAAATGAGTTCACTCGAATGCGATTATTTTTATTTTTTTATCATTTTAAAAATTCTTTAATAACGTGAAAAAAATTTTTCTAAGTCCCATATTTTGACGATGTACAAAATCAGAAAAAAAACCTATTCAAGAGCTCCGATTCTTGATGTCTTACGAAGTCAGAAAAAAAGAACTCTTAAAGAGCTCATATTTCTGATGTCTTGGAAAGTCCAAAAAAAGACCTCTTAAACAGCTCATTTTTTTGACCTCTTACGAAGTCGGAAAAAAGACTTCTCGAAGAGCTCATATCTGTGATGTCTTATAGAACTTAAAAAAAAACTTCTTAAAAACTTCTTAATTGAAAAATGAAGTCTTTAAGACGTCATATTTGGAGTTCACAAGGAAGTCTTTGAAAAGACATCTTTAAAAGAAATCCTTCTGACTTGGATGTTGTCTGGGAAGCAATTAATAAGAACAAAGATATAATTTTGTAAAACACTTCCTTTGATACAAATAAAATTATATTCCATTTTAATTATTGTTCGTCATAACAGAATACTAATTGCATATTAATACACATTCTATACATCATAAATGTATTCTGTAATTGACATAATCTATTTTAAGATTTTTATAATGTAGAATAGCATTGTTTATACGAACTTTGGATTTGAAGCTTACAAAATTTCACTATTATTTATTATTAAACAAAGCTATTAGCTTTCTAATAAGCTGCTTTCATGTCAGTAAAAGGTATAACTAATTTAACAAAGTTCAGTACCGCTATTATTACTTTATTGATAATATTTACAAAAACAATAATGACTAACAGCTTACAGTAATTATACTGTCAATAAAAGGTACAAATTTATGTTAGTGAATTTTCTGATAATGCAAAATTTAATTATAAAAATTTCTTTTAAAATAATAATAATAATTTTATTAAAACTGCACAATAAAATTAAATTTTTTTTAAATATATATTTTTTAAGTTTAGATAAAATTTATTATTAATAAATAATTTAAAATTCTATAGAGGTGCGTATAGCGCCTTTGCATAGAACGGGTAAATATTAAATTATAATAATTATTTTTCTTATCAATAATCACTTATATATAGTAAATAGTAATAATAATAATACCTAATACAGTGCAAACTAAAAGAATATCAGCCTAGGAAATTTAACTGAGCAAAATTTTATCTTATTTAAAATGAATTTTATAAATAATATTATTGTAGAAATTATTTTATTTATTTTACAAAAAATTCATTTTTTAAAAGCTTTTATCAGAAAAATACACATTTATACATATGCCAGAAATAAACGTATGATTCTACTCAGCTTGATTGTATAATACATGGTTATATGTTTAATACAAATATTTTATTAGAGGTTTTGTTCGGTTTGTTATAAAAGAGCATCTCTGTAAGCCATGTGAACTCTCGGCTGTCCATTATTAATTAATAACGATGATTTGTTTTAAATTAAAATTTTAGACTAATAATTTGCACAGCACACACTAAAATTCAATGAGTAGAGTAAATGCAAAAGGTATACACGACGGTTATTAGCAAATATTTAAACGAACTTGAGTAATAACACAAATAATCGGGAAAATGAATTAGTCATTACTCGTTACTGACCCGACATATCGCTGTGAATAAACTTTATTATTTTAATGTTTATTTATCGACTAGATACACAACTCAAATTCACGCAACCAATCATTCTCGCACGGAAAAAAGTAAACTGTAATAAATAACAGTCGATTTATAATAATAATAATAAGTAATGATCAACTGCTAAAAATTACCATTTCAAACAGTAAAATCGTGATTTTACTATTCACTTTATAATATTTACCATTTAAACGTTACAATTTACTCTTTACATGGAAGAAAATACTATTTCAAACAGTAATATTCGCTATGTAAATGTCTAAAATGTTTAAGTATAATAATTAAGAATTTAGACTTTGATATTTATCATTTGGTACCTAAAAAATGATCTTATGATATGTAAAAAGTATAAAATAAAGTTAATAAATTTCTAATACAAGCAACGTCAATATTTACAAAGTAAAATGGTAAATTTTAAACACAACGCTAAAAATCAAACTGTAATTAATTATTGACTTGCTTGGACTGGTAAAATCTATATTTTAAAAGTATAATTTTTACTGTTCCAAATGTTAAATTCTCCCAGAGTGAGACCCCCTTATCTTTCATCTGAGTTCCCCTTCTCCTCATAATATCGACTATATATTGAAATGGCAATTTTCACT